TTCAGCCACTGTTGAAACTGATCAGTTTCAGCAGCGGCTGAATCTGGATGCCAGTTCCGACTTACATACAGATTCAACTTAAGAACAAACCTACAGTCCCTATCTTTTACGTAACCCGGTGACTGCCTGTACAGTCTCTTCCCCAGGAGAGGGCCTGTAACAACACAGCACTGCATCAGGCACCACACTGCATGGTCAGCGCCTAAAGCCATGTTTCATGATCAGTTTCAGCAGCGGCTGAATCTGGATGCCAGTTCCGACTTACATACAGATTCAACTTAAGAACAAACCTACAGTCCCTATCTTTTACGTAACCCGGTGACTGCCTGTACAGTCTCTTCCCCAGGAGAGGGCCTGTAACAACACAGCACTGCATCAGGCACCACACTGCATGGTCAGCGCCTAAAGCCATGTTTCAGCTGCTGCCTGCTGGGGCTGGGAACAAGGTGCCCTGTTAACAAGGAGGAGGACTAACCCTTAGCACAACTGACCGGAGACATGGTCAATTCACCATCCCTTGGAGATGTCAGATCAGAGCTGAGCATCCTTCTGAAGATACACTCTGCTTCAAGCTACTGTGAGAATCACCGCTTAGAATCCAGTGGTCTAGGTCAAACTAACTGCTCATAATGGTCCCTTCTAGCCTTAGGATCTGTGAGCCCAAGAAAAAGCTAGAGTATGCAATACATTGGATGTATTTTTAAACGAATTCTACTTTTGAGGAGAGCAGGGCAGACTGACTTCCACCAGGGTCACATTAGCTCATGTTAATGCTCCGTAGCCATGCCCTCATTTTGAGTGTGCGTCTTTATTTTAAAAGGCTTTGATCTGAATACGGGCCAGACCCAGAATCTGTGCCCTCTCATTTACACAAGTCTCAATGGGATCTACGTGAGCAACACATCTGCAGTGCCCTCAGATATGAGCAAAGACGAAGACTATGAGAGGTGAGTGCCAGGACCTAGCACCACTAAGGAACTTTGGACACAGACACAGGCAGCTGCTGTCATGTAGCTGGGGCTGAAAACAATCACAGAAGTGTAGGATTGGAAGGGATATCAGTAGGTTAGCTAGTCCGGTCTCCTGCACTTAAGAAAGGAATACATAATAACTAGACCATCACTGACAGGTGTTTGCCTACAGAGGTTGTGGCACTGGAAGTTTTTAAGAGCAGGTTAAACAATTTGATCCAGTGGTTAACCAATCTGACAGGAAATTTTTCCTAATGTCCAAACTAAACCTCCCTTGCTGCAATTTAAGCCCATTGCTTCTTGGTCTATGCTCAGAAGTTAAGAACATTTTTTTGCCCTCCTACTTGTAATACATTTTATGTACAATATTTGAAAAGTTTTTATGCCTCCCCTCAGTATTCTTCAAACTGAAGAACCCCAATTTTTTTCAGCCTTCCCTCATAAATCATGTTTTCTAGCATTTTAATATTTTTTGCAGTTCTCCTCTGGGCTTCTTCCAATTGTCCACATCTTTCCTGAAATGTGATGTCCTGAACTGGACACAGTACTCCAGCTGAGACCTTATCAATGCAGAATGGAGTGGAAGGATTGCTTCTTGTGTTTTGCTTACAACATTGCTGCTAATGCAAGTTGTACCTCTCTAAACCGGGAGTCTCTGGTCTGGCAACATCCATGATCTGGTATGACCACTGATGTTCTTGGACCAGAGAGCCCCAAAGCCAGGAGCCCAATGGCAGTGGTGTAAGCATCCGGCAGCAACAGCGGGGCCCCGTGTCTAGCAAGCCCGGCCAGGTCCGGCATCCCAGCTAGGCCAGTGACAAGGGGTCAGCAGGCCAGAAGCAGAGTTGGCAGAGGGGAGGCATAGTGGTTGGAGGGCCAGTGGCAGGGACGGGCCAGAGCCCAAGGGTGCTAGACCAGGGAGGTCCAGCCTGAATGTCCCAGAATGATGTTTGCTTGGTTTAAACAGTGTTAGTCTATTGTCTCATATTGAGATTGTGGTCCCACTGAAACCCCCAGATCCCTTACTGCAGTACTCCTCCATTCTGTAGGTGTTCCGCTGATTGTTCTAAGGGCAAGTAACTTGTATTTGCACTTACTGAATTTTATCTTATTCCAGAAGAAGTTTTAACTGAGGCAGTGATAGCTAGAACTTTCTCATCTTGCCTTCTAGCAGGAGGGGAGGAAGAGAAGCTCCTGGCCTACTGCTCCCTTTGGTATATTTGTTTAGCGTCCTAAGTGCTTCCTTCAATTTATCCCCCACCCCCCAGGGCTTCTGAGGACACAGGAGTTCTAAAAATCGCCACCGTGAATCGTAAGTTCATTCGCATCCTCAATACCTCTTTGGATCAAGAGATGGACCTGAGCAGCTTCATCATCCAGCAGTGGATTGGAGGGTACCCGGTGTCCATATACCGCTTCCCCCTAGACACCACGCTGCCTGCCCTGCACCACATCACAGTAAGCAGCAGGCCCTGCCGTGGCACCACACGCTGCCTGCTGAGTGGCTGGAAAGGCCAGAGCTGAGGGAATAAGAAAACTAGAGGCTGTGGGCCCCGTTCTCTGTTACAGTACGACCCCCCGGGGGCACTTCCTGTGCAGGGCTAGCGTAGAAGTGGCACAGTGGCTTGTAGCAGGGTACTCACCGCTGGAGCATCTCCTCACGGCTGCCTGCAGGGATGCGCTCTGCCCGGGCAGACACTCGCTGCCCCTCTCGCTCCCTAGGAGTCGCAGTGCTGCCGCTCCTTTGTGGCTTGACCCTCCAGCCAGCTCATGGTTTTCCCCTGCCAGGGCCCCAAACTCTCACCTTTCGCTGGTTCATTTCACCGGGGTGTATAGAAGCCAGGAAAGTTCCCCACAAGAGCGGGACCATTCCCCCGCTTACACCTACAATCTGCAGCCCACGCCTGCCCCATTTCAACCCTTCCTGTCATTTTCCTGGGCCTTTACCTACTCCTCCCCTCCACCACCTCTGTGGGCAAACCCTTCCCTCAGGGCCAGGATCCCTTGGCTCTGGTTCCAGATCCAGCCCAGAGTTTCCTCCTCCTCTTCCTCTCCTCACTAGGCCCAGAGAGAGACACTAGCAGCCCCTTCTGCTCTCACTTCCCTGCATTATACAAGCCCTGCCTGCTCCTGGCTAAATAGGCTCCAGCTTCACTCTGTGCTTGTCTGTCAAGCCTGTGTCTTCCCCCAGGGGCAGCCTATCAAGTTCATTAGCCCCCTCTGAGCCTCCTTAACCCCTTCAGGGGTGAGCTGGGAGAACACTAGGCCACCAATAACACAGGAAGAGCCACCACTAACACAGAGTTTTATTCAAGTGTCAGTTGCCAGGCACTGCAGCACCTCCCTTCCAGGCTCCCTCAGTATTCCTGAGGTGTGGGGGCTGAGCTCGGACCCAGGGCAGTGAAACTAACTCCCCAACAGGGTTTTGCTCAGCCCTCCCTGCTTTTAAAACAGCACTTAACGCCCTGGCTGTGTCTAGACTGGCATGATTTTCCGCAAATGCTCTTAACAGAAAAGTTTTCCATTAAAAGCATTTTTGGAAAAGAGCGTCTAGATTGGCACGGACACTTTTCCGCAAAAGCACTTTTTGCGGAAAAGCGTCCGTGGCCAATCTAGACGAGCTTTTCCGCAAAAAAGCCCCGATCGCCATTTTTGCGATCGGGGCTTTTTTGCGGAAAACAAATCTGAGTTGTCTACACTGGCCCTTTTGCGCAAAAGGACTTTTGCCTGAACGGGAGCAGCATAGTATTTCCGCAAGAAGCACTGATTTCTTACAGTAGGAAGTCAGTGCTTTTGCGGAAATTCAAGTGGCCAGTGTAGACAGCTGGCAAGTTTTTCCAGAAAAGCGGCTGGCCCAGTCTAGCCACAGCCCCTGTGTCTGGCAGGGCTCTTCCAGTGCGGAAGACCCTGGCCCCCCATGAGTGATGGCACAACAGCCTGGGAACACTCCCAGCCAAATTGTGAGGTGGCTGGAAAGATAGCCATGAGCTCTTGGAACAAGGAGTAAAGCCAGCAGAGTTGCCTACTGGCTAGAGCAGGAATCTTGGCACCAAGACTTCTGGATTCTATTCCCAGCTCCATCAGGGCCGGATAAAGCCCTTGCGTTCCGGGTGAGCCCTTCCTGGCAAGGTCCGGGAGGAGGAGTGAGGCAACTCCACTCACTCCACTCCCCTCACTGGAGCCAAGTTGCCACAAGTGCCCGGAAGCTCTCTCTCTACACTGCTGCTGCCCTCGCCTGGAAGCACTGCCCCTGCAGCTCCCATTGGCTGGGAATCGTGGCCAATGGGAGCTGCGGGAGGCAGTGCCTGCAGGTGAATGTGGGGCAGCACTGTCCACACAGAACCACCTCTCCCTCCCCCACCAAATGATAGCTGCTCCAGGTAAGTGCCCCACAACCCAATCCCCTGCCCCAGCTCTGAACCCCCTCCTATACCCTCTCACCCAGACCCTGCATCCCCACCCCAACCTTCTGCCCTGAGCCTGCTCCTGCACCCCAAAACCTTCATTGCTAGCCCCACCCCAGAGTCTCCCCCCTCCTGCACCTACCTCCTGCCTCAACCTGCAGCCCTCTCCCATACACTGAACCCCTCATTTTTGGTCCAATCCCAGAGCCTGGGGGGGCCCCACAAAATCTAATGGCCCCAGAAGAGTTAATTTGGCCCTGAGCTCCACCATTGCTCACTGTGGCTGTGTCTAGACTGGCAAGATTTTCCGCAAAAGCAGCTGCTTTTGCGGGAAAACTTGCCAGCTGTCTACACTGGCCACTTGAATTTCCGCAAGAACACTGACTTACTATTGTCTGAAATCAGTGCTTCTTGTGGAAATACTATGCTGCTCCCAGTCGGGCAAAAGTCCTTTGGCGCAAAGCTTTTGCGCAAAAGGGCCAGTGTAGACAGCTCAGATTTGTTTTGCGCAATAAAGCCCTGATCGCGAAAATGGCGATTGGGGCTTTTTTGCGCAAAAGCGCGTCTAGATTGGCATGGATGGTTTTTCGCCAAAGCACTTTTTGCGGAAAAGCGTCCGTGCCAATCTAGACGCTCTTTTCCACAAATGCTTTTAACGGAAAAGTTTTCCGTTAAAAGCATTTGCGGAAAATCATGCCAGTCTAGACATAGCCAGTGTGACTGTCACCTGAAGAAGTGGGTTATGCCCACAAAAGCTCATTATACCATCTATATATTTTCGGTTAGTCTCTAAGGTGCTACAGGATCATTATTGTTTTTTAAGGGTTTTTTGTGTGAGAGATTTTGGATGAGTCATTGTTTAGGGCCTCTCATCCATCTGGGAAAAGGAAACAACTGTACCTATCACACAGGGGTGCTATGTGTCCTCCCCTCCCCGCCACGCTTAATTCTGACCAGCAGCTTGAAAGTATTTGAAAGCCCACCGACGAGAGGGCTTTAGAAATGCAAGGCAGTGCTCTCAAGGAGAGGGAGGTGCTGGCACAAGCCACACGAAGCTGTACAGACACGATTCCCTTCCTCTGAGGCAAGACGTGTTCATGGGGTTGCCAGCTCTGTGGGCAGGGGCTGTCTTGTTGTGTGTGTGTAGCCTTGGGCCACAGCTAGAGCACCTCAGTGCACCACTAAAACAAATAATCCACAATCATAATCTGCCTGGTTTTTAGGTCTGGGCTACAGGAGCTGACCGTGCCCATAAGCCCCCCAAAGAGGCGACGCTGAGGACCCAGCAGTATTTCAGAGCAGGCCCCGAATGCACCACAGTCCTCAGCAATGCAAAAGGCAAGGTGAGTCACACTTGGGGCAATGCCAGGGGGTATGGGCAGGGCTGAATTATTTTGTACCTCTCTGTCAGGCTCCGCAGTAGTGTGTGGCTGGTGACCCCAAGGGGGGCTCACATCATGGGAACTTCACTAGGGGCCCGCAGGGCAGACAGGATGGGGCTATGAGAGGTCATGTCGGCAGGACAACCCCCTCCCCAAATCTGTGTGACCCTGTTAATGACCTGCTTGTGATGTAGGTTAAAACCCAGGCTCTGACTCTGTGTTCAGGATGCATGTTCCACGGCCAGTCGGGGGAGGGGAGGACTCTCCTCTCTCCTTCCCCTAATTCCGGGCTTGTGGGAAGTGCAGTCACCACAGCAGCCAAGGTCAGATTCCAGGGTCTGGGCAAAGCCTGCTGGGAAATGGGACTGGGTTTATAAAGGGCTCTTGTCCGAGCCGGCTCTAGACATAAGCAGACAAAGCGATGGCTTAGGGCCCGGAGCAGCTCAAGGGGGCCCCTATTAACTTGTTTAGTATGTGTTGTTTGTGGGGGTGCCCCCCTAGGATTCCTGCTTAGGGCCCTCATGGGCTAGTACCACTGCCGGCTTCTTTGCCCCAGAACAGTGGTTTTTGGCCCACAGCCCACCCCGCTCAACACAGACCTTTCCATGGACCAACCACCCATGATGACAAAATGGGTGCAGGAGCAGACTGTGGGTGGGGTGGAGGAGGGAGGGTGCAGGAGCAGGCACCAGGGTGGGTGGGGGTCTGGGAGGAAGGGTGCAGGAGTGAGGTGGAGATGCAGGGTCTTGGTGAGATGAGTGTGTGCCAGAGTGATGGAGGTGTGGGGTCTGGGTATGAGGGAAATGTGGGGGTGCTTACTTGGCTCCATGCCTCCTGCCGCTCCTAGGCACCACCCTCTGCTGCTCCCATTGGCTGGGGTTCCCGCCCCGGGGGG